GCAGGAGGAGCATTGATTAAGAAAAAGAGAGCCAGTGTGGTTAAGTAGCTGGACTAGAAACTAGCAAACTGTGAGTTCCAATCCCTCCTTAGCAGGAAAGCCAGCTGAGTGACTTGGTCCAATCCTTCCCTCTCAGCCCAATCCACCTCACAGTGTTGTTGTTAAGGGAAAAAAGGTGAGAAAGGAGTATTGGTAGGCAAGTTCGGTGCCTTGAGTTACTTACAAAATAATAAAGGCAGGATTAAAAATTAAATAAAAAAAATAGAAATAATAGGTTGCTTTTTTCCGGTGTGGCTCCTATGTCTGTTTTTTGTGTGCGTATATTTGTGTTGGTGTATTTGTAAATAAATGAATAAAAAAGGAAAATCTTCCGGATAAAATTATCTCAAGATTTTCAAGAAGAAGGCGGATGGCCATCTCCCATGGATGGTTTAACTGGTCTTTCTACATAACGCAGAGGGTTGGACTAGATGATCTCATGCTTCCTTCCATCATTCTAGGGTTGTATGGTAGTCAACTACAGGAAGGGTGTTTGGAAAAGCTGAGCTTTGTGGTTAAAGCCAAACCAGAAGGGCCACAGGTGTGGTTTCCTTCTCCTCCCTCCCTTCCATCCATCAACCAACACCCTCCTCAAAGGCTGACATGACTCTATGAAATTAAAGCTAATTAAAAGATGAAAAGACAGACTGGGTAATATCCAAATTCCACTCTGGGAAATCTGACAAGTGAGTCAAAATAAGAGTGGAAACTCTCATTTTTACACTTCAAGAAGCGAGCAGTGTGAGCCATCAAGGGAGTATCACATCCTTGTAACAAGCAAAAGCCTTATCAGTAGTGAGATGGGCGGCGTATAAATTCAATCGATAAATAAGGAAAAAATGAATTCTTGTTTTCATTCTAGAAGGCTTCTCCTAGAAAAACGGATAGCAGAAAAAGACCTAGGTGTCCTTTTCAGTCTGTTTTTTGTGATTATTTTTAATTGTAATTAAATTGTAATTTTTACATATCTCCCTCCCTCCTTCCCCCCCCCATATACATACATACATACGTATATATATGTAAAAAGTTAAAATCTCGGGTGTTTTCCCGCGTCATGTTAAATAAGTTAGTTAAAATGTTTAAAATTCTGGTTAAAATCCTAGCTTAAAATCTTCCAAAAATTCTTACAGAGCACTCTGCAAGGTCCTTTAAAACCTTAGCTAAAATTATTTAGCTTCTAAACTAAATAAGAGCCTGAAGATGACAGGGTTGTGAGCCTGTCGAAACTTGCTAGAAAGAAAAACTTTTAAGGTACTGGTAGAATTTTAGCTAAGGTTTCAAAGGACCTTGCAGAGGTCCTTTAAAACCTTAGCTTTGGGAGTTGCTGTCTGTCAGCAAGAAACAAAAAGCCCAGAAACTTGTGAATGAGATTTCACAGAACCAGGGCTGCATAACATCATAGCTTACGTAAGTAAAACCTGGCTAGAAAGAATATGCACATAAAAGCCTACAAAAAAGAAAGAAAAAGAAATATATATATCACCCCACTATGGCCATGTAAACAACTTGATCTACATAGGAAAAAACCCTGACTACAAAAGTATTATACATTTGAACCAATGAATTAAAAGAATAAATATTTGACCTTTACAGGGAGGAGTCATAAAATATGGGTGTGGCTGGCCGATGAAGTCCAAAAAGACAGAAATAGTGCTATCCCAGTCTCCCATAAGTCTCAGAACAAACAACACAATATGTCTGATAAAGCCTGAAAGTGATGATTTGAGATATCATCCCACTATGGCCATGTAAACAACTTGATCTACATAGGAAAAAACCCTGACTAAAAAAGTATTTTATATATACACACGTTTTCTTTTCTTTTCGTAGGCTTTACGTGTATTTCTCTTTAACCAGGTTCTTCCTACGTAAACCAAGATTTTTATGCAGCCCTAGTTCAGTGAAATCACAATCCACTAGTTTCTATAGGCTTTTTTTCAGGCAGCCAGGCAGCCAGCAAGTCTCCCAATGGGCAGCAGAGAGCTTGCTGGCTGCCTGGAAAAAAGCCGAGAAACTAGTGGATTGTGATTTCACTGAACTAGGCTGCATTAAAAATCTTGGTTTACGTAGGAAGAACCTGGCTAAAGAGAAAGATATATAATATTTATATATAATATAAATTTATAAACATAATGGTAAATATGATATAATACAATATTACATATCTTATTTCATTGTATTATACATTATAAATATATTCTCAGAGATGTCCCTCTGACATCTGGTCTTGAAAAAAGGGAAACCACATTGGACTCTGTTAGGACCCGGATGGGAGACCACCAGGAGATCCAAACGGCTTGCTTCAGAAAGACCCAGCAGACCCTCCTCCCTTCCTCCAGCCAGCCAGCCAGGGCTTTAGCATCAGCAGCTGAATCCTTCCCAAACCAGCCGCCTGCTCAGCGGGGGAATCGCATCTGATGTCCCTGGACAGGAGACCACCAGGTGATGCCAGGGCCAGAATGGGATGGGGGAGCCGGGCTGAGAAGCGGGAAAAGCCCCCCCCCCCCAAGAAGAAGCCCCCCGGAGGCGACCTGCTATGAGCTCGGGGAGGGCGGGGGATGGAAACAAGCGCTCAGCGGGGAAGGGGGGCTCTTGAGGTCATTTAGTCCATCCCCCCCACCGGGCTCAGGACACGGTTTGGGCCCTCCCCCGCCCCCCCTCCTCCCCTCTTGCTTCCTTGGGAGCCCCTTCCCCACGCGCGGCCCCCTCCCTTCTCCCAGATCCGCAGCCAGGGGCCCTCGAGGTCATCTAGACCACCCGCCCGGCGCTGGGCCCGGAGCCTCACATGTTGTTGAAGCGGAAGAGGTCGTTGCAAGTGAACGCCCGCAGCGAAGTCATGCCTGTCTCCAGGGCAGCCGACCCGGAAGCGGCCGCCGCGATGCCCCGCCCCGTGACCCCCCTCAGCGTTTCCGCCCCGTCGCCCGGCAACGGAGCCGCCGAAGCCACGCCCACCCGACCGTAGGAGACGCGCGCCGAGCCTAGAGGCGCCGCGAGGACGTGCCACGCCCACCGGAACGTAGAGAGAAGTGATAGAGGCGCGCTGATTCCTCTCGGCCGTCACTTCCGGGTTTGCATCATCTAATAAATGGGCCCTTTAAAGTCTCTTCCTCCTTCGTTACTACCTCGCAGGGCTGTTGTGTTGGAAACAGGGAGGGCAAGGCGGGCTATAAAATGCAATGCCACCACCTCCTCCCTGATCATCATAAGGGTCGGATTGGAACCCTTACAACTGTGTTTCTCTCCTTTGGCAAGTTTAAGAGAATTTTATTTTATTTTATTTTATTTTATTTTATTTAATTATTTTATTTATTGTATTGTATTGTATTGTATTGTATTGTATTGTATTGATAACAAATCAATGCATGAAGTGTGGCATCTGAGCATCATACATTCTAATACAAATGCAATTAATCAAGTTAATCATAATCCTCACATTCAATCCACATATATTTCTAATAATAATGTACACATATTAATTTATAGTCTCTCATTATTCAATTATTCCACATTTTCTCGTTATGACTTTCATTTTGTGATGTAAAAAGTATACACTAATATTCCCCCTTTTCTCATTTCTATCATTTATTCTAGCTTTTGATCATATCACCCTTTATTAAAAAACTTTTCCTTTATTTCTTGTCTAACTTGTTTAGTTTACTTTCGTTCACTTTGTCATTGCACCTCGTACAACGAAATTAAATGCCATCTTCAGTGTCTATTATACATAAAAAATAAAACAAAATCACACCTCCTTCACATTCTATGCAACTGAACTGAAACCCCCTGATATTGCATTAATATCAGTGATATATAATTTATATAAGTGATATGGCACTATACAGTAGAATTCAATATAGTTACTGCTCTGCGATAGAAGCTATTTTTCAGCCTATTTGACCTTGCTTTTATTGTCCTGTACTGTCTGCTGGATGGTAATAGTTCAAAAAAAAAAAAAAAAGGATGAGATCCAGGATAAGATGGATCTTTAAGAATGTTTTGGACTTTCTTAAGGCAGCGGAAGCTATAAAGCTCTTGCCTGGTGGCTCAGCAGACTGATAGCATTGTGATTAACACCAGCTGCCTGCAATTACTGCAAGTTCGAATCTCACCAGGCTCAAGGTTGACTCAGCCTTCCATCCTTTCTAAGGTAGGTGAAATGAGGACCCAGTTTGTGGGGGCAATAAGCTGACTTTGTATAAATATACAAAAGGATGAAGGCTATTGCTTAGCGCATTGTAAGCCGCCCTGAGTCTCTGGAGAAGGGCGGCATATAAATCAAATTTTTAAAAAAAGGAGGGGAGAGAGCAATCAATGATTCTCTGGCCAATGATGTTGACCCTCTCTGCCACTATGCAATTGGCAAACCATGCGCAGGTCCAGGAAGTTAAAATACTCTCAATGGTGCAGTGGTAGCAGTTTTTCATTCAGTTGTTGTTTCCTGAGAAGTCTCAGATAGCATATTCTCTGCTGGGCCCTTTTGACCAGTGCTGCAATGTGAGTGCCCCCAAGTCAGGTCCTCTTTTAGGATAACACCCAGAAACTTAAAACTGGCCACTTGCTCCACTCGGTCTCCATTGATAAGCAAGGGCTGGATGTCTGATCTATTCCTTCTGTAGCCCACTATAGAAGCTCCTTGGTCCTATTGGTGTTAAGGACCAAGTTATTCTTTCCACACCACGAAAGCAACCGCTTGGCTTGCTGGGGAATTCTGAGAGTTGAAGTCCACTTCTCTTAAACTTGCCAAAGGGGAGAAAGACTGCATTTATATGCAGAGATGCCAACTCAATTTTGCATCATACACTCATGATGCCACACACAAAATCACACAAACACACACCAATTCCAAAGACATCACTCCCACAATGCATAAAAATATGTGCGTCTATCCGAATACCTTTAAAACATAACTCTGAATCTTAAAAGACCATTACCATTTATATTTAAAGAATTTAGACCAAGAATTTATATTTAAAACATTTATTTGCAAGCGTAGGCTTCAGCCAAATCCAAATAAAATATCAGCAATCCATTTCAGTTCAATACATCCCTTCTCATCTTAACAGCCTTGTTAATATAATACTTTCTGTTTTCCTTATATCCATACAGATTATATATTCAGAGTGGACGGAGGTTGTGAAAAAAGTATTTATAAAACCCCAAAACCTTAGAAACCTTCTATTTCACGAATCAAATGTTGAATTGAATTTGTTCGTTGGAGAGAACTGATCTGTTTGCCACTGTGGAATAACATCTCTGCCCTTCCTCCAATTCTATTCGTCCCTTACCTCTTTTCATAGCAACTTTATTTCTTGTGTTCATTTGTTTGACATGATGAGTGGTGTGGTGGCCTAGAGGTGGAGCTCTCACCTCACAGTCAGGAGGCTGCGAGTTCAATCCTAGGTAGAGGCAGATATTTCTCTCTCTCTGGGCACAATGAGAATATATCTGCTGGGGAAAAAACTCCGCACTGGCGACAGGAACGGCAGCTGGCCAGTAAACGCTCTAGCTCCATTTAGTTGTCCAGACTCCACCCCGCAAGGGATTATGGGGTAGCTAAATGATGATGATTCGTTCGACCTGATGCTGCTCAGATCCATGTGACTTCATAGCCTAAAGAAGCAAGCTGACTTACAGCTGCTTCATTTTTCTGGAGCCCTGTTCTGGATGGTAGTGAGAAATCATCTGAACGAGGATCGTGCAGTTGATGGAGAGGAACCCCAAACCCGCCAGGCAGAGGAGCAGAAATGTATTCTGCCCTTGAAACTCCAGGAAATAAGCGGGGAGCAGCCAGAGACCCTGCCCCAGGAGCCACAGCGATAGCAACACTGCCCCCCGCCCCAAGGACATCTGCAGGAAAGGCAGGACCAGGGGGAGAAGGGACAAGTACCACAAGAAATACTGGGAGGTGCAGACTTTGTTAAAGCTCACAAAGACTGCCGTGTGCAAGAAGCAGCAGAAAGCCAGGTCTCGGTGGTAGACGAAGGAGATGGCGAGAAGCAGCAGCAGCTGCGGCAGGAAGGCGGCCAGTCCCAGCACCAAACTCCAGCGGCTCTCGGCTGTCAAATACAGCAGGTAGAAGTAGGGCGAGAAGTTGTGGCGAGTGTCTCTCCGCAGCAAATGGTAGAGGTAGGTGTGCTGCAGGAATTCCCAGCCGTAGTAGACATAGAAAGCAAGACCCAGGGTGGCAAAGGTGCCCCCAGAGACGGTGGCAAAAATCAGGACGTCCCGTGTGAACCAGCTCCAGGGCAGCCCGAGGCTGCGGCCAGTGCAAGCTACCTTCCTTTTCTGTTTGTCCAGTTCCGCTCCTGTGTTGCTTTGCAAATAGAGAACAAAAGGCAGCGCATAAGTCACGGGGTAGATCTTCATATGTACGGCAAGACCATAAAGCACAGCCGCCTTCACTAGCCGCCTCTTGGCCAGGTAATAGAGGGTGCCAAGAACCAGGCTGGCAATGAGAGATTCAGCGTTGCCTCGGCTGGACACCGTCATGGGAAGCGGGTTAAATAGCCAGAAGGCAGCGCACCCACAAGCTGTCCGGCTTTCCAGCCCTCGGAGGAGCAAGATCTGGTCGATCAGGAAGGCAGCCACCAGATCCCCGGCCACAAAAAGGATCTTGCCAAACAAGTCGCTGACATAAATGTTGGGGGTTAACAGCCAGGCCAGGAGGGGAGTGTAGCGGTACGTGGCCCGCTGGTAAGGGGACTTTCCTTCCGTGACGTATCTGGCGGCATCGGTGAAAACCTGGTAATCGATGTCTGTGTATTTCACCAGCATTGTTCTGTCCTGGTAGATCCCGTAAAACGTCAGGCCCAGCCTGATTAACAAAGCACTGCTGAATAAAACATCCCTCCGGAGGAATCCGTGGAGAATCCGCTGCCCTGCACTCAGAGCGGGATCCGGATGTGGGTCTCCCCGACAAGGATCACGAGGAGAAGCAGATCCAGGACCCGGTTCGGATTTAAGAGCTCGTTTCAACATGGTTGCCCAAAGAACAAAAAGTCAAGTTGGAAGACTCTCTCCCATGCTCTTCTGGATTTAGCAGGCACTCCTGTTTAAAAAAAAAACATAGCCACAGTAAAAAAGAAAAAAAAGCAGAGATTGAATTTCAAAATTGGACAGGCAGGCCACCAGCTTCCATATTCATATGCTAACCCATATTTATTTATATTTGGATATAAAATATAAACATAAAGAAGAGCAGCAAAGAAGATTAGGGGATTGGAGGCTAAAACATATGAAGAACGTTTGCAGGAATTCGGAGTTTGGAGAAAAGAAGGACTAGTGGGGACATGAGAGCAGTCTTCCAGTATTTGAGGGGATGCCCCAAAGAGGAGGGGGTCAGCGTATTCTCCAAAGCACCCGAAGGCAGGAGAAACAGCAATGGATGAAAACTAATTAAGGAGTGATCCAACCTACAATTAAGGAGAAATTTCCTGACAGTGAGAACAATTAACCAGTGGAACGGCTTCCCTCCAGAAGTTATGAGTGCTCCATCACTAGAAGTTTTTAAGATTTTGGACAACCATGTATCTGAAATGGTGTAGGGTTTCCTACTTGAGCAGAGGATTGGACCAGAAGACCTCCAAGGTCCCTTCCAGCTCTATTCTGAATTGAATTGAAAAAAAATGTGGGTGCTCCATCATTGAAGTTTTTAAGAAGACACTGGACAACCATCTGTCCGAAACGGTCTAGTAGGGTATCTACTTGAGCAGGAGGTTGGATCAGAAGAACTCCAAGGTCCCTTCCAACTCTGTTATTCTGTTATATTTATTTATTAAATTTATTTGCCGCTCATCCCGCTGTAGGGCTAACTCTGAACAGCTTATAATAGTAAAACAGAAAAAAAAAAAAGTAAAACAGAAATTACGGAAGTTGAAGTCCACTGAACTTAAAGTTGCCAAGGTCGGACACGCTTGCAAACAAAGACAGGATTCGACACCTTAATTTTTCCTCAGTTTCTTTGGCAGAGAAGCCAAAACTGCAACAGACATTAGCAGCAGCCCCAAAAAATCTTGTTTTTCCTAGAAAAGATCTAGAGACCCATTTTTCCCCCAATGGTCAAATTCCTCCACCCGTGAAGGAACAAATAAAGTTTTATCACAACTTGGGTGGATTGCTGTATAAGACCTGGGTTAAAAAGTTGTTAAATGTGTAAATTTTGCAAGCATGAACTGTGTACTTCTCTCCCTTTTTTTCATGACTTTTGTTAGCAGAATGGCATTGCTAGCAGGCATTAAAAATTTTATGTGCTTTCTATCTTCAACTACACGCTTCACACATGGAAGGGACAAGCCCAGCAAAATCCCATTAAACTGCTCTTTCTCGTGCGACATTCATTGGGATAATTGTCGACTGTAATTAAAAAGATAATAATTAACTCTGGGAAGGAATTCAAAGGGACCGAGACCCCAATATCCCTTCTGCTACAGGCCAAGGGTTCCTATTTCAAGTGTAACTCTGAAATAAAATGTAAAGCCATTTAAGAGCCCTTTTACTACATTAAACCTCCAAAGCCAAAATAAACGAGAAAGCCAGGGAGAAATGATAACGTTGGCAGTCTTGCGTGAAACAATTTCTACTTTTGCTGACACCAACAGAATTTGCAAAAGAAGTAAACACAGATAATAGCACCAGGAGAAGAAAAAAAAGCAGTAAGCTGTATGAACTCAGCCTAAGACAAACGAGAGAACTCTTCTCACTTTTCACGATGGAGAAATGCGGCCCCAAAACTTATTTTCAAATTTTAGCCCAGTTCTTTTGAAAAGTACATTTTGAAGAGGGGGAAACCGAAGTGGAGTTTCACACAGGTATCTCCAAAGTGGTTTTTCAAAAGGCAACTGGAATGTTTTTTTCTTTGTGGAAGAAGACAGTTCGCTTCTCCTCCAAGGAGCTTCATTGGTTCATGGTGAAGTTGATGAAACTTCTTGGACGAGAAGCGACGAGAAGTCCCTTTTGGGAGAAGGGCGGTATACAAATTAAATTTAAATTAAATTAAATTAAAATTAAATATCCTTTTCTTCTTCCTCAAGGAAAAGAAACAACCCAGCTGCCTTTTGAAAAAGCACCTTTGAGACAAAGGATGACTCAGAATCTCCATAGACAGTTTCACACAGAGCTTTTTCTCTGCCACCTCTTGGTGTAGATCAGAGGTGCCCATCCTTGGCAACTATAAGACTTGCAAACTGTAGGAATCTACTATAAATGCAAAGACTGGTCATAAGTCACTTTTTAGTGCCAATGTAACCTTGAACAATAGCTAAATAGATGGTTGTAAATTGGGGACTCTCTGGAGAGTATTCCTGGGGGAGTGGGCTACACAGAGATATATAAGAAGGAAGAGAAATTTCGGGACTCAGAGAGGGGAAGAAAGAAAAACAAAGGAGGAGGAAGAGGAGGAAGTAGTGGTATAGTGGAAAAAGAACAGATGAAGCTAAGGAGGAGGAGGAGGAGAAGAGAGAGGAGGAGGAATTGGAGAAGCTGCAGAAGAAAAAGGGGGAAGGAGGAGGAAGTGGTTTAAGTGGTGGTAGAAGAAGAACAGATGAAGCTGAAGAAGGAGGGAGGAGAAGGAGGAATGAAGGGGAGGAGGAGGAGAAAAAGAGGAAGGGGAAGAAGAGGAGGAAGAGATGCAGAAGGAAAAGGGGGTAGGAGAAGGAATTGGTGGTGGCAGTAGAAGAAGAAAAACATGCTTGCTCAAGAAGAAGAATGGACGAGAAGGAGAGGAAGACAGAGGAGGAGAAGGAAAGAAGAAGAAAAAAGGGGGAAGGAGGAGAAGGAAGAGGTGGCGGCAGTAGAAGAGAAAAAAAAGATGCATGCTCTAGAACAGTGTTTCTCAACCTTGGTAGCTTGAGCTACCAAGGTTGAGAAACACTGCTCTAGATTGAGAAGGAAGAAGAGAAGGAGGAGAGAAAGACGGAAGAAGAGGAGGAGAGGAGGGGAAGAGGAGGAAAACGTGCATGGATAAGGAGGAAGAGGAGGAGGAGAGGAAGAGCAGCAGCCCCAGCAGCCTCTCCCTGCTCTCGGGGTGCCCCTCTTCAGGCTCTGCCTTTTCCTCCCTCTTAGCCCAGAGGCCCCTCGAGGTGCAAAGGCCTCCAGGCGTCCACTGGGGGCGCCCAAGAGCAGCGGGACGGGAGTGGGGGCAACTCACGCGGTCTTCGCCGGTAGAAGCAAAGCGGACAGAACTCCCTTCTCGGGCCGCCCAAGCGAGGGACGTTCCAGTCTCGGCCAGCAGGGGTCGCACTGCAGACGGAACCTTCCTGCCGGCTCCGCGCGCCGGGGAAGCGCGTCCGTCGGCGGAAAGGTCCCCCATAGGGCGCTTCCGGTGGAGCGGAGCCGGCCTACCGACCGGGTTCTCCTCTCTGCCGCCGGCCCGGAGTCGGGATGCGGCTGTTGCGGGGCGGACTGGGCTTTCTGCTGCGCCCGGGGATCCGTCGTGGGGCCGGGCAGCCTCTCTACCAGCAAGGCCAGAGCCCCTCGCCACGCACCCGCGAGTACTTCTACTACGTCGACCACCAGGGACAGGTATGGGGGGGAGGGGGAGGGAAGACCCTCCGAGGGGCGAGGGTGGCGGGGTCATAAGGTCAACCGGATGCGCCCTGTAACCGGGTTGTTCGACTGGAAAGGGCATTTCCGGCTGAGAGGGGGGAGGGGCAGAGGGGAATGGCTGGGAAGGGACCCCAAGCAAGTGGGGGAGGGGGAAGCCTGCATTGGAAGTAGTCCTCGACTTATGACCACCGTTGAGGCCAACCTTTCTGTTCCTAGGCGACACAAGTGGGTTTTGCCCCGTTTTACGACCTTTCTTGACATGGTTGTTAAGTGAATCACTACAGTTGTTAAAAGCGAATGGTGCGGTTGTTAAACGAATCCGGTTTCCCCATTGATTTTGCTTCTCAGGAGGTTGCAAAAGGGGAATCACATGTGGGAAGCGGAACCTTCCCCCCTGGAAGAATGAAATATTTTGAGGACTATTAAAAAGGCAGAATATTATGTTTCCCCAAAGGGAGAAATGGAGAAACATATTTTTTAGAGGTAGAAAGCCGCCCCCGCTTTTCCTTAATAGCCCTCAGCAGATGTCAGCACTTAAGGAGAAAAAAAGAGCTTATTGAAAGAACCAGCCAACTAGATGGCTCTATTCATAAGCAAAGCAAATACTGCAGGCAGAAATCCATTCAAGACAGGATATTTTAAAATTCCCTGTAGCAAAGTCTGAACAAAGGCAGAATGGTAGGATTCGAAGCAGCCTCTCCCCCAAGATCCAACACAGGACGAAAAGCCATTAAGCCACAATAGGAATTGCCCAACACCCTTTCAGAAGACAAGCCCCTTCATTGCATGACCCCCAGAGCAGTCCAGACTTCACAAGGGAGCTCAGATAAACAAGAAGCCAGAGGCTGACCAGATTAGCTCAGACAAGCACCTAGGATTGGCATTTCCTCTTTTGCCTATAGAGCCAGCTATGACCCCTACATGACCCCATAGGAATCCGACAGCAGCCAATAGAATACATGTTCTTGCACACGAACAATCAGCCTCCGTGTTTCCAGTGCCTTTCTCCAGCTTGGAACTGAACCAGATGGATATTTCTTGCAACACACGTGACCCAGAGGTGGACGTCACATGCTATAACAACCGGTTCACCCAACACCAAAAATGTGAGCGTGCGCTATCCGGGCATGTGTGCAGCATCACAAAACACGGCAATTCGCTCACACACCATCCACACATGCATACACCATCAAAACACATGGCAATTTGCTTAAGTGCGCCTTTCACACATGGCTGCAGGGTCAAAAACAGTGATATAGGACGGGATTGCAGGCGGGCGGTCAGGCACGGCGGGCCCACCCACAGGTCACAACTACCAATTCGCCCAAACCAGTCCGAACTGGCAGCAGCCCACCACGGATGTGACCCGGGACACTGCAACATCATCGGTTTGGCCTGTTTAGAGAAAAGAAGGACTTGGGAGGGGGGACATAACAGTATTCCAATATCTCAGGGGCTGCCCCAAAGAAGAGGGAGTCAAGCTATTCTCCAAAGCACCTGAGGGCAGGACAAGAAGCAATGGATGGAAACACATCAAGGAGAGAAGCAACCTAGAATTAAGGAGAAACTTCCTGACAGTGAGGACAATTAACCAGCAAACTAGAACTATGGTAAGGAGAATTTTCCTGACTGTGTGGAGAATCGACCAGAGGAACAGCTTGCCACCAGAAATTGTAGGTGGAAGGGTTTTTTTTTAGAAGAAATTGGACAGCCACTTGTCTGAAATGGTCTAGGGCAGGCGGGTCTCCTGCTTGGGCAGGCGATTGGGCTAGAAGATCTCTGAAGTCCCTTTCAGCTCTATTCTGAATTGAATTGAAAAAAGAGTTCAAATTAGCTAGTCAGAATAACAGAGTTGGGAGGAGCCTTGGAGGTCATCTAGTCCAACCCCCTGCCCATGCAGGAGACCCTACACCATTTCTGACAGATGGCAGTCCAGTCTCTTCTTGAAAGCTTCCAGCGATAAAACACCCACAACTTCTGGTGGCAAGTTGTTCCACTGGTTGATTCTCCTCACAGTCAGGAAAATTCTCCTTACCATAGTTCTAGTTTGCTTCTGTTCTTGATTACTTTCCATCCATTGCTTCTTCTCCTGCCTTCAGGTGCTTTGGAGAATAGCTTTGACTCCTTCTTCTTTGGGGCAGCCCCTCAAATACTGGAAGACTGCTATCATGTCTCCCCTGGTCCTTCTCTTCACTAGACTAGCCAGGCCCAGTTCCTGCAACCGTTCTTCATATGTTTTAGCCTCCAGCCCTCTAATCATCTCTGTTGCTCTTCTCTGCACTCTTTCCAGAGTCTCAACCTATTTTTTATACTGTGGTGAGCAAAACGGTGCCGTATTCTAGATGTGGTCTTACCAAAACCTCCTAGAGTGGTATTAGTTCCTGACGTGATCTTGATTGAATCCCTCTGTTAATGCAATTTAGGATTGCATTGGCTTTTTTGGCTGCTGCTTCTTTATTGTTCACTGTCAATAATATAGGATGCCGGCAAATCTGGCCTGGAAAAGACTAGATAAGGCAATAGGATGGGATGGGGCAGTCAGACCTTGCCTCCTGTGTTTACATAGTGAATCCAAGCTGATCCCTCCTCCCAACTGGGACAATTGTTCTCCGACAAGGAGTGGATCCTCCCTCAGCCACTTGTCCATCAAGTATGGAAATCGGGTATCAGTCTGGCCATCTTCGCTTTCCTTCATCTTGCTGCCAGCTGCCATGGAAATGGGGGAGGGAGGGAACAATGGACATTGGAATGGGGAAGTGTGCAAGTGGTGTGAATGTGGAATTGCTGAGAAGCAACGGGGAGGCTTGGACTCAACAGAGGCCAGTTTGGGTTGTTTATTTATTTATTTATTTGTTTGTTTGTTTTAGTTTGTATACCACCCTTCTCCAGCAGGACTCAGGGCGGTGAACAGCCAGAATAAAACAGAACGTACAAAATTTAAAAACAGTTTAAAAATAATTAAATATTTTTGACTGCAATTTAAAACAACCCAATTAAAATCAATTAAATTTAACCAAAACTGTGGGATCAAGCCATCTTCTTTTTCCTCGTGCCTTGACCAATGTTAGAACCTTCTCAAAAGAGCCAGGTCTTTCCATTCAATGATTGACTGAGTGATTGATTGTGTCTTCAAACCAACGTTGACTCCTAGCAAACATATAGATAGATTTTCTCCATGACGATTGGTCCTCAACCTGGCCATTCAAGACTTCCAATGGTGCCCCATTCCCACTGTAACTGAGTCCATCCCTCTTGATGCTGATTATTTCTTCTCCTTCTCCTTCTCCTCCTCCTCCATGTCCTCTTCCTCTTCCTGCTTTTCCTCCTCCTTCTCCTCCTCTCATCTTCCTCTTCCTTCCTCCTCTTCCTCCTCCTCCTTCTCCTTGTTCTTCTCCTTCTCCTCCTCCTCCTCTTCCTTCCTCCTCCCTCTTCTCCTTCTTCTTCTTCCTCCTCCTCCTTCCTCCCTCCCTCCCTTCTCTTTCTTTCCACCTTTCCCAGCATTCGTATCACATGTCCAAAGTAGGATCATGTGAACGAGGTCATTTGTAACTTGAGTGAAAACTCTGGTTTGATTTCTTTTTTTTTTTATTGAAAAGTTTTAAAATATTTTACAAACAAATTCCCCCCCTTCCCCCCCCCCTTCCCCCCTCCCTCCCCCCCCCCCCCGATTTCCCAGAGCAAAATACAGGGTATTGCATTTTAACAAACCTAACATAAGCAAACTAACTATAAACTCTTAACTTCCCCTTACTCTTTACCATAGATACTAAGATATCAAAATAGAAGAAAAAAAAATCATCTGAATATTTCATTCATAAGCTATTTGCAACTTTTTAGTCCCATATTTGTTTTGTATATAGTCAATCCATCTTTTCCATTCCAGTACATATCTTTCATTCGAACGATCCTTCAAATATGCAGAGATTTTAGCCATCTCCGCCAAATCAGCTACTTTTTTTTTATTGAAAAAGTTTTAAAACAAACACAATTTCCCCACAACCCTCCCACCCAACCCCCCTCCCCCTCCCCGACTTCCCAGAGCAGAACACAAGGTATTTCTATTGACTTTTAACAATAAACTAAATTGCTTAACCAATCATTAAACTAACACCCCCTAAAAAAAAAAAATCTTAACCCCCCCATATATAAAATCCTGCTTCTTAGACATAAAACTTCTAATATCACTTACATAGCGCTTATACAGATAAAAGAAATCATTCATAAGCTATTTGATATTTTTTGCAAATCAGCTACTTTTAATGTCCATTCTTCAATAGAAGGTATTTCTTCCTTCTTCCAGTATTGCGCCACAGGTTTGATTTCTTCAATGGTCCATTAGTTTGTTTTCCTGGCTGTCCATGGTCCCCTCGGGAAACTTCTCTAACACCCCCAAGTTCAAATACATTGATACTCTTCTTATCCTGCTTCTAGTACTACAACTGGTAGTTTTCTCTGCAAGAAAGACCTGTGTAGGCGCTACTTATTCAAAGCCCTTCTATACAGGTAGTCCTCAATTTAGGAGCATAACCGAGCCCAAAATTCCCATTGCTAAGTGAGACCGTTGTTAAGTGAGTTTTGCCTCATTTTATGACCTTACTTGACAGAGTTATTAAGTGAACAGCTTCAGTTGTTAAGTTAGTAACACTAAGTGAATCTTTGCTTCCCCGTTGATTGTGCTTGTCACGTGACCCCCCCCCGGACGCTACGACCGTCGTAAATGTGAGCCAGTTGCCAAGAGCCTGAATTTTGATCACGTGACCATGGGGAGGCTGCAACGGTCGTAAGTGTGAAAAACGGTCCTAAGTCACGTGTTTCAATGCCCTTGCACTGTAACTTTGAATGGTCATTAAATGAACTGTTGTAAGTCAGGGACTACCTGGCCCTCTGAGTTCCAGAGACTGTTTCCCTCCAAAATATGTTTCTCCTCCAGTTCAGAAGGAATTCAAATCACGTAATGAGGCCTCTTGACAATGTCAGCTTCAGAGCTAAATGTTAATGGAGACCTCCAGGGTAAAACGAGAACCAGCCAAGTGGCAGATTCGGGGTCGGGAAAAGATGCCAGCTCCGTTCCAGCCCTCGAGGGTGCTTGGACCTCTTCTGAATCCATTAGCCTCATCTGCTGACTCCTGTTATTGCCTCCGCTATGCTAATGGCGTATCTAATTAGCACCGAATTAAACCGAAATGAGTTGGGGTCGGTATTAAAAGAAAAGCGTGCGTTGTCTTGGTAACACCAACCAATGTGGAAGTTTAAAAAAAAGAAGAATTAGAGGTGGCATGATAGCAATCTTCCAGTATTTGAGGGGCTGCCCCAAAGACGAGAGGGTCAAATTATTCTCCAAAGCACCAGAAGACGAGAAATAATGGATGGAAACGAATCAAAGAGAGAAGCAACCTGGAATTAAGGAGAAACTTCCTAACAGTGAGGACAATGAACCAATGGAACAGCTGGCCACCTGAAATCGTGGGTGTTCCATCACTGGAGGTTTTTAAGAAAAAACTGGACAGTCACTTGTCTGAAATGATATAGGATCTCCTGCTTGAGCAGGGGGCTGGACTAGAAGACCTCCAAGGTCCCTTCCAGCTCTATTCTGATTCTAAGGCAGTGTTTGTCAACTGTGGCACCATTAAGAAGGGTGGACTTCAACTCCCAGAGTCCTGCAGCCTTTGGTGACCTTCTGACAAGCAGTCAATGAAGAAGCCAAATCTGCTTAATAAACTTGTTACTCACTTAACAATGGTAGCGATTCACTTAACAACTGTGGCAAGCATGCGTAAAATGGGCGAAACTCACATAACAACTCTCTCAACATCAGAAATTTCAGGCTCAGTTGTCGTCATAAGTTGAGGACTACCTGTACAAGAATCTAGTCAGCTAACGATCAGGGTTAAATTGGCGCTAGATAAGGGTCAATGGAATTCATGGAGTCTTTTGTGACAACACAATGGTTACAAACTGATAACGCATTTGACCCCACCTTCCAGCTCAGCCTCTCCTCCTACATAAGCGGCACACACGGACTGACTCAAGGGTGGCTTGTGTGAACCTAGAGATAATTCTCCTCCTCCAAGACGGTGGAGCAGTATCCTCCTTGTTTCTGAGGGAGTGGGTCTTGTTTTCCATTCTCTTCGCCTATGCTGTATTTTTCAGAAAGAGGAGCGTCCAATTTTACTCAGTTTTTCTGTTTTCCTTCCCCCACCGTGCCTACCCAACCCTATCCGATCCTGACCACGTTCCACAGCTTTTCCTGGATGATGCCAAGGTCAAGAACTTCATCACGTGTTTCAAAGGTAACGTCTACTTATTATACCCCAGATTACAGACACTTTGAGGGAAGGGAGGGTATAACATTGGGGATAACAGATTAACAGATGGAAGGTATGTGTGTAAATGACTTATGTGCATACGAATAATCTTATTTTGATTCGTCGTATTGGCAAATCGTTTATGCAGAGAAAAGTAACTATTGTGCAATTGGAAGTGACCTTGGATGCTATCAGGTCTCTGCTAAAAAAAAGTTTTCTCTAGAGACGTTTTCCTTCTTCATGGCTCAAAGGCCACCGCTACTCTTACTGCTAGCGTTCCAAACAAGAATAAGTGATCTTGAAGAGTAAAAGTGCAACCCACTTTCAGTCAGGAAAGAAAGGGATGTATTCTATCGATGAATGATAGTTTTATCTTTAGAT